CATTTTCTGAGTCATTTCATTTGCAGCTACTAGCTATACAGTTGATTGATTAACTGAAAAATAAAGTTGACAGACAAATGGTTTTGAAGAGGATGCTGACAAGACAAGGGGAAATAAGCATAAGCTGGATGCCAGTATTGATGTGCGGTGCTGTGAGTGTCCCCTTACATGTCGCCTCTGTGCAGTCTCACATTCATCCTGCAACGTGGGTGTGACTGAGCTAGGAGCAGGGCCCAACCTGCCAAAAGTTTTCCCCATTCCCCACTGATACCTAATAAAATACAGGGCTAAGGTGGCAGCCCAGCCCCTTGGAAGCTGGTTTTCTTTCCATACTACCATGTTTCTTTCCTCCCCAGAGAGACTTTTAGGATGATGAAGAAGACTGATGGTTAGACGCTGTAAAACAGAGACTCGGGGGTATTTCACTGGTAGAGCGCTTGCCTAGCATGAGCGAGGCCCTCCATTTGATCCTCGGCACTACAAAAAAAAAAGAAAAGAAAAAACTAAAAATCCCTAATATGATACCAAGGAAGAATGTGAACGGGTTCCTTGGGGATGCTTTTGGTGCTTCAGACACCACCACCCTGAAGACAAAGGATGAACTGGACACTCCTCCACCCCTAACTCAAGCTCTGAAGGAGGCAGGACCCCAGCAGTAGCAGAATCACGGGATTTTATTGCCCCTCTTCACTCTGCTGACACCTGGTCTTGGGTTTTAAGCAAATGCTGATTCTATTGGAGGAGATTTTAATGGCAGGAATAAAGACAGAGCATTGCTGTAGTTCTCACTATTGAGTCAAGGTCAAGATCTGCCCCGAAATGAACTCTTAAGACAAGAGGGTCTTTATCTGGGGCCCACAGACCTTCTGCAACCAGGCAGATTCCTCTAACAGGCTTCAAGGGTTTCGTACAGGTTCTGGGAAATTACTCACAGCCTTTTTGTGTATGTGCCTTTCCTCTGGTGAAAAGATCTATAGCTTTTATCCTCAAAAGTGATCCCCAAATGAAACTACTGTTTTCAGAGGTCATTTGGAGGACCTTCAGTGACCTTGAGTTGTCACACACACTAAGGCTTAGAGGTGTGATCCTTTAAGCTCAGGCTTTTCTATGTGGAGTCAGGGTGAGAGAACCCTCACACAGGCCACCTTCCTAAACCTGAGGACCACTCTGATCCTGGTATAGAAGCACATATCGTTGGAATGGAATGATCACTCCTGCACTTTCCACTGTTTCCAAGCTGAGTAACCTTGCTGCACCTGCCTGAGAGCAAAAGTCTGTGCCAATCCACAGAAAGCGCTCACTGATGAATAAGTTCCTATATAAATCACTGTCATGTAAAATCACACTGTGATGGGTTAGTCTATAAAAGAACCAACTTTACCCAGGCACCAGTGACTCATTCCCATAATCCTAGCTCCTCAGAAGGCAGAGATTGGGAGGATCACAGTTCAAGGCCACCCCAGGCAAAAAGTTTACCAGACCTCCGTTTCAACATGGGTTCCATGGCACACATCTGTCATGCCAGCTACTGCAGGAAGCATAAATAGGGGATTGAAGTACAGGCAAAAAGTGAGACCCTATTTAAAAAAAAAAAAAAAAACTGAGCAAAAATGGCCATAGGTGTGGCTCAAGTGTTAGAGTGCCTGCCTAGGAAGTACAATGCCCTGGGCTCAATCCCCAGCACCAACCCCAGCCTAAAAAAAAAACAAACAACTTTTCAGTGTCAATTCTGAGTCTAGAAGAAAAAAAAATCCACTAAGCCTGTAGATTTTACTCAGAAACAAAGATCCAGTGGCGAATGGATAAAATACAAGCCAAGACCTGCTGTCCTCCCTAGGGAGGAGGGAAGGTATGGGCTATAGGAGTTACAGTTTCTCAGTTCTCTAAGGAGGATTCTGAGAGAAAAGATCTATCTGTGGTGATTTAGCACAGGGCCTGGAGAGGTGTTAAAATTCTTTTGTCTGACTGGGGTACGGCTCAAGTGGTAGAGTGCTTGTCTAGCAAGGTAAGGCCCTGACTTCAAACCCAGCACCATGATGGACACAGAAGAAACTGAGTTCTTCCTTATCTAGCAGGGACAGCCTCTCTGCTGAGCACTTAGAGCACCAAAGCCCCTCCACCATTTCTTTATCTTGTGGGTGGTGTGTGTATGTCTGTGTGTTTTTATGTGTGCGCATGTATGTATGCGTGTGTGTGTGTATGCGTGTATGCATGCGTGTCTGTGTGTGTATATGTGTGCATGTATGCATGTGTGTGTGTTTGTGTGTGTGTGATGGAGCCAGGCCTTGCACATGAGAAGCATATACTTGCAGGGTGCCAGTGGCTCACACCTGTAATCCTAGCTATTCAGGGGGCGGAGATCTGCAGGATTGAGGTTCAAAGTCATCCTGGGCAAATAATTCATGAGACCCTGCCTGGAAAAAACCCTTCACAATAAGGGGCTGGACCAGGAAGGATTTCTTCGAAAAAGACAAGGATTGACTAACCTTGGAACAGCTGCTAACAACAGGTTAAAAGAGTAATCACAAAGTAGCCATCTGGTCCTGATAAAACCTTTGGTCATTAGTTAGTGAGACCCTATTTCAAAAAGAACCCCATCACTGAATTTGGCTAACTAATCACCCATACTTAGGTTTCTGGGTTGTGCCCCCCTCACTGGCTCTCTAGCTACATCCGCTCCAGCCTTTGCAGTCAGCTTCCCAGCCTCCACCATGTACACTTGGCTTGTTCCATTGCTGGACTGAGGCCTCTGCTCCAGTATTATCTCTTCAGATGCCCTCCTATCACTCTCCCTAAATTGTGGGTCACCCCCTCACACAAGCTTTTGCTCATCCCCTCCTGGGTCTTGAAGTGTCTGAAATTACTTTTCTATGTCTGTTCTTGGTTGTTGTCTGTCTCTATCTCCAGAACAGAAGTGCTGTGAGGCAGCAACTTCAATTCACCTGCCCGTTCTCTCTTGTGCCTCTTGTGCTTAGAACAGGTCCAGTACTTAGTAGGTGCTTGGCTCATATCTACAGTGAGTTTCAGTTCTTGCCAGTTCTAAAACATACTGGGGAGGGGGGAGCCCAAGTAGTTTCAACACTGATGTCCTCCATGTACATAAGTAAAAGATAACCAGCAAAGACAAGGGGTGCATTTCCTGTCCAATACGAATGTCGAGATAGTGTTGATGAGACAGCCAGGAAGCGCAACACTGGTGGAAATAGAAAATGCTCAAATCTTTCCTAAGTGGTGAATCATGGGTGAATTTTTTCACTTTAATTTTTCTGGTTTGCTGTGTTTTCTAAATTTGTCTAATGATTACTTTCTTCCTCTCAAGAATTACTTTTTAAACCAAAAAACTTCAATCCTCTTAATCTTCCTTTAAAAAAAAAAATTACCTGGCTGGACCCTTGCATAGAAATTTTTTGCTACTAACCCAGTGGAAGGATGGCCTTCTGTGCTGCCGAACCTCTTCTCTGGAGAATGTTTCATCTGAGTCCCGGATCAGGTTTCTCTGAATTGATCCAGTCCTGGTCATTGCACACTGTCTCCCAGAGCCACTCTTGTTCGGAGCCCACTGGATCTGTGGGGCTGGGAAGAACAGGCAGGGCCCACCCAGTTTGGGCACCCCAATCCTTCTGCCAAGATGCGGGTCGTCTCAGGCAGGGAAGCCCAGCAGTTCTTCCTCCTCCCTCACTGCTTAAGTCCAATTAAAAACAACCAGAAAACAACAGCAACAACAACAAAACCAGAGCTACAGCTACCCATGCCTTCCGCTCCTGTGTGCCCCCTGTCTCTTGAGGCCTGTTACCCTTGGACACCTCTCTGCCCTATTGTGCCAGGGCCCAAGCAGCCAGCCTCCCTGCCTGTATCCCCAGATCCCCTAGCGAGGAGGCTCACTGCTGCGTGGCCTACCCAGTGGGCCTGTGGTTTCCCTCTGTTTCTTTCTGTTCTGGAGGTGGATTGCTAGCCCACTATTTCATATCACGATGTCGCTCTAGGGCTGGACAGTTAAGTCCCAGAATACCCAGCGGCGCACGTAAATGCTGTTCATCCCTCATCGGTGAGCAAACTGAGGGCCCTGTGGCTTTTCACTGGGAGCTGTAATGTTCACGCTTTCTCAGCTTTGCACTCCTGAGACCCTGGGCCTCTGACACTTTACACTGCTAATCTGCAAGCAACCCAAACAATATTTGGAACAGCACTGAAGGCTAAGGGTCAGGCTGGCTCAGGATGTCACTGCCTGTGTTTGGTAGACCAAATGGCACACATACAAAGTGATGGTGGTATTCCAAGCACAGGCCTGTTGAGGTGGTAAGAAGGGCACATTTGAACTACTTGCTCTTGTAAGAAACCTGGCCCACCGGGTGCTGGTGGCTCACACCTGTAATCCTAGCTTCTCAGGAGACAGAGATCAGGAGGATTATGGTTCAAAGCCATCCTAGAGAAGTAGTTTCAAAAACCCTATCTCAAAAATACCCAGCACGAAAAAGAGTTACATAGTGATAGAGTATACCTACCTAGCAAGTGTGTAAGCCCTGAGTTCAAGCCCCAATACCCCCCCAAAACAAAAACAAAAACAAAAAAACCTGCCCCTTCTCCCTAAGGCTAAAGAGACCCAAAAGAGCAGGGAAGCAGGGAGCCTGCTGGGATAGAGAAGCTCCCCTTTGCTCCTTAACTAACCAATGGAGGTCTGATTGCTTTCTGAAGATGTGTGAGCCATCTTCTTCATGCTTTTCAAAGAACGGGTCTGTGGGAGAGATGGGGTAATAAGCATGGTCTTCCATCAGCCTCAGTCACACCTGAGAACAGGGGCAGGTGGGATTGTATTTCACCTGTCCCTTTGCCCACCGCCCCATGTTGGGCCTTTGATTTAAACTACAGTTTAAACTTTGATTCCTTTGATTTATACTACAGAGCTTTCCCCTTCATCACCTCTTAGGGCCTAAGGGGCTCAACAGAACTCTGCAATGAACTTGATTGCAATTTAACTATTTCTTTTACTTTGCCTTTTACAGCTTAAACTTTGGAACAAATATCGAATCTCCAACATTCCATCGCTCATATTCTTAGATGCCGCCACGGGGAAGGTTGTGTGCAGGAACGGGCTCCTGGTGATCCGAGATGACCCGGAAGGTAAAGCCACAGAACATCCGTGTCCATTCCCACTCTTGCTACCCGTCTCCCTCGCTCCCCTGTCCTGACCTCCTCCTCCTTGTTGATAGAGAAAATACTAAGGAAATACGTGGAAGTGGGTTTATGTGGCTAGAGAACATTGTCTTGATGAAATTATGGTATTCTCTAGGTCATGGTTAAGATTTTTAAAGGGATCAGAATGTCCCTCCTGGGGCCTTTAATTCATGGGCCGAAGCAGATGGAATCTGGAAAAGGAAGTTCCTCTTTGCAGGCTAGGAAGGCTGTTGAAAAGCATCAAGAACCCAGATGCTGACGTGCAGTGTTGTTTTAGCAGCCGTCACCTTAGCGATTATAGGCAGGCTAAGTGGGTTTTTGCTTTTGTTTATTTGTTTCCCTCTTTAAAAGATAGAGTATACCTTATCTGAAATGCTCAGGAGCAGAAATATTTCAGATTTTGAGGAGTTTTAGATGTTGAAATATTTGCATAGGCGTTACCTATTGAATGTCCTGAATCTAAAAATCCAAATTCTGAAATCTAAAACTTTTTGAGCACCAGTATGACTCTCAAAAAGTTTTGAATTTCAGATTTGGGGACTGGGGATGTTCCACCTGTCTCACTGCAGCAAAGTCACAGTCTTTGGTTGCTCTCCTGGCTTCGTGGTGAGTGCACCTCATATCTTGGTGCTGCCTGAGTCCTGTAGGCCTTGGTCTTGTGGACTGGCTGGCTGATGTCTGTGCACTGGGGAAGCTGCTCTGACTACCTGCTTAGTAGCTGGCCAAGGTCTTCTCTTTTCCCTTTGTGCTGGAATGATCAGAGTTGCAAGATCTCTCCTCCCTCACTTACTGATCCAATGAGAGGATTCAGCTGTGGTCACAAATTTTCCCAGTAAACACCCACTCCTGTTGCAGGATTTGCTCTCTGTAAAAACCAGGGGCATGGTGGGACCAAGTCTTTACCTTCTCAGATTTAACTGCTGATTCCCTTCATACACACACACACACATACACATACTCTCTCTCTCTGATGACTGTTAACAGTATGGATGACCAACCTCTCCTCCCCACCAGTTGTTTGTATTTTTTTGTTTCAGCGTGGGCTTGACCACCTGCATTTTTAACTGGTCCCATTTCTCACTCCCATCCTGGACCCTTCAGGAGATTTTGAGGCAGTGGGCTGCAGGCCACCCTATGAGAAGATACTGCTGTGCTGAGTTGGGAGCATATAATTTACTCTTCTTGCCTGAAGCTTGTGTCTTTGGACCACGAACCATATGGGTTGGGAGGGCTTCCCTTTTAAAAGACTTAAATTCTCACTTAGTTCCCTGAGTCTCAGCTCAGGCCAATTGCATGAGAATCGCTGGGGATGGGGCCCAGGTGCATCCTATTTGAAATTCCCCAGTGGATTTGAACATGCAGACAGAGTTGAGAACCACTGAGATGCTGGAGTTGGATGGATCACCTTGCAGTTAGCCATGGCCCACCCTCCAAATTACCTGGGGAGTCTGTTCTCTTTTGTTTTGTGATATATCTTCAGCCTTGCTACTGCGTCCCAAGATGGCCTTTGGGAGTGGGCCTCCTTATCATCCAGGCTAGGGAACAACTGGCTCCAAGCCACAGTAAGGTCAGTGGAGAGTGAATTCCAGTGCTGTTTCCATGTTAGCTGAGGTCCTGTGACTGTGTTAACAAATTAATGATAAATTTGGGGCTGCAGCTGTGAGGCCTCTGGGTTCCAAGCCATCATGAAAAACCTTGACATTCTTGTCATCCGTTTGTTGCCTTGTTTCAGGTCTGGAATTCCCTTGGGGACCTAAGCCCTTCAGGGAAGTCATTGCAGGACCCTTGCTTAGAAATAACGGGCAGTCTCTGGAGAGCAGCAGTCTGGAGGGGTCTCACGTGGGAGTCTATTTCTCTGCACACTGGGTGAGTGTTTGGTCTCTTCTTAGTCCAGACAGAAGGGAGCAGCAGTGTCACTACCGAGCCTAGCCGTGGTTGGCTTCTGGAGGTGTAAGCGCTCTGGCAGGCCATGACTTTCCTGCCTTCTCCTGTGCATTGTTGGCATCCAATGTTATGAACAGTAACAGCAGCAAGAAAATGGCTTCTCCTCCCAACCCATTGCCATGAGGCTTCTAAGGATCTTTAAGGAGCTGTTTTAGCTTCTGCCAACTGGCACACATTATGGGCTGTGGAGCCTGTGCTGGATGTTCGCCAGGAAGAGGTGAACTTACTCCATCTCTTTTACAAACTGGGTTTGACTGTACAGTCCTACTTGGGTCTTGCTCACTTGGACCTTGATGGTGAGCAGCTGGATGTAGAGAAGTTATGTCATGCCACGGGGTCCTGCTCTTGTCTTTCAGTGTCCGCCCTGTCGAAGCCTCACCCGAGTGCTGGTGGAGTCCTACCGGAAAATCAAGGAGGCAGGCCAGGAGTTTGAGATCATCTTTGTTAGCGCTGACAGGTAACATCTGCCCATGAAGTGGCAGCTCTTCGTCCTTTCTCAACATGGGCTGACGCCCATGTCCTCCGCCTATATTTCTTACTTTCTTGTCAGAGGGAATGGACAGCAGGGGTTGGGATTATTGGCAGAGAGGGCCTCATTTCATCGTCTGAAGGGGGTGGAGGAAACCTCTTCTTGCTGTAAACACGGGGGTGCATCTCAACCTAGGTCTGGATCTTTTGAGATTGGGATGCGTTTTCTAGTTTGTTCAGCTTTCTAAATTGTTAGGAAAAGGTATGGAGGGGAGAGGATGGAAGGGAGCCAAAGACTAATGCAGTGTGACATCTATCTTAGACCACCCTCTTCTTAGCTCTGACCATGCACTCTGGAACCATTTGAATGCTCATGGATAAGGAATCACAAAAGTGGTGGTGGTGGTGGGGGGTTCTTTCTGGAGCAAGTCAAGACCTTTTTGCCTCAGTTTCCTCCACTTCTTCTCTGGTTTCACTCATCAGTAAGCATCCTTCACGTCAGAATAACGGCCCCAGACGCAGAGTCACCAGGCACTTCTGTCTCTTAAGGCCCTGTTGACAGAAGGATCTCTGAGACACCAGTACACAAGTGGCCAATTGTGCATTGTTGCATCCTTGATCTTGTTCTGTCCTGTGCTCAGTTAATTGACCTGTGGTCCTGCCACACAGCTCCCTGCCTCGGCACAAGGGAGTAGGGGCAAGCTTGCCACACGGAGCACTCACCTTTTTAGAGCTTTAAACAGCTTTACTGTTTAAATCACCTTTATTAAAGTATACCTTCTAGGCAATAAAATGCATTCATTTTAGCTATATAGTTCAGTGAATTTCACCTAATGTATTTACCCATGTTATCACCATCACAGTCAAGATGCAAAACATTTCCATCTCTCAGAAGATTCCTTTGTACCCCTTCTCAGTCATCCCCCATCCCCAAGCCTCAGCACCAGGGAAGTCCTTATCTGCCTTCTGTCACTTGAGGAGATTTTTCTTTGCCAGAGTTGCTTATATGTGGAATCCTAAGTGTACGCTTGGTTTTAAACGTGTGCTCCTGTACACATCATGGCTCCGTGTGCAAATTAGTAATCTCCCAGGGAACGTGACAGCTGTGTACATCTAAGCTCCCTATACAAGTCAGAACTGTCCGGGTTGAAAATGAAAGGTTGGACATGATTGTAAGCGGTAGAATGCAGGGGTGGAAGATGTTGACGTGGCCTGTTGCCCCTTTCCTTTGGGAGCCACCTGTTAGGTGGAGGCTCTTACTTCTTGGTGACACAGAACGAGCAGGACGGCACAACCCCGCAGCCTGAGGAAGCTCGAGGATTAGGAACTCCAGCCGTAGGGGCCTAGGTTAATGGTGGGGAGGACTAAGTGGAGGTGCGCACAGGATGATACGGCCTAGTTCTCCATGCGTGTCTCTGTAGGTCAGAGGAGTCATTCAAACAGTACTTCAGTGAGATGCCCTGGCTCGCCGTCCCCTACACTGATGAGGCCCGGCGGTCACGCCTCAACCGGCTTTATGGAATCCAAGGTAGGCATCCCAGGCCCTGACTCCACTCACCTACTTGGATGGAAGCCTACCCATTTGAGTTCGCCACACCCCTGATTTTCCTTTTACCAGAATAAAAATGCACTGATTTCTGTGAATGTTCACATTCCTCGCCATCTTAAAATTTGACATGGGATGAATTTTATGCTATGTAACTTACACTTCATAACTGCCATTTGCTTTTTGGTTGTGTTTAAGTACTTACCCTGGTAAAACAGCCACTTCTCACCCCTGACATGGTAGCTTCTGATATGGGTGGGCAGTGGATCACATGCTTCCAAATGACTTGGCCACAATTCTGCCCCAGGGTCTTCCTGTCTACAGATCCAAGAGTGATCTTTGGCTCCATTACCTGGAGTCCTTAAGTCTTAGTCCCTGCCTCGCAAAGCCTGGATGATAAGTCTTGGACACAGCGAGTTGCTGGGAACTCATGTTAGGGGCTGAGTGATGCCACCTTTTAGGTGAGAAAATTTCCCGAGGATGTAGACAACGAGGACTTAGAGTATTAGAGAGACAAACTCAGTTCTTATTCTTTGATACGTGATTATCTCCTTCCTGGTCTTTCTCCGGACCAGGTTTTTCTTGGTGAAGTACTTCACAGTATAAGAGTTAAACCAGGAGCTGGGCGTACAGCTCAGTGGTAGAGTTCTTGCCTACATCCCATACCCAGCACTACAAAAACAAAGAAATTAAAAAAAAAAAATGCCTTGGGTTTTCGGGTTTCGCTTTTCCTTTCTCTCTGTAGGATTTGGTTCTTTTTTTTTTTTTTTTTTTTTTTTCTGGAACTGGGCTTTGAACTCAGGGCTTCTCTCTTGCAAAGCAGGTACTCTACCTCTTGAGCCACACCTCGAGTCTGGGATTCAGTTCTTTACCCGAAAAGCGACTCTGGATTTTACTTAGAGGAGATGTGATTGTCTTTTAGTAACTGTCCAGTGAGAAAGGGGTTCCATCCAGCACTACCCACCAGGCTGTGCCACAGGCTTCGTTTCTGGCTTGTGACTAGAGGGCCTCCAGAGGGCTACTGGTGACACACATTGATCAGCCCCAGGTCTTTCCTAAGTGTTACCACAACTGTGCTGTCCTTTAGTGCCAGCTGTTTTCAGGGCAGCTGTGTCCTGTCTCTTCTGATGACCATGGATTTTCCACCTTGGCATTTTAGTAGTACTAGGATAGCCCAGTTTTTGTGAGTCCTAATTCCTGCTACACATTAACAGGTGTCTTTCATGTGTGTCCTCCTCTGATTCCCTTAACACAGGTCACTCAACCATGGTCTGGGCACTCCTCTTCCCTTTCCAGCCTCTGTGTGTGTGTGTGTGTGTGTGTGTGTGTGTGTACATAATGTAATGTGGTTGAGCCTTAGAGCACACACAGATGACATGGTAGGTTTCTCCAAGGTGCAGCACAAGACTGTCAACAATCCTTCATCTCTTCCAGGCCTGGGGCCTCCTAGATCTTTGCCTGGGATGTTGTTTGCTACCTTCTTTCCACACTCACGATACTACTACCCTACTGAAAGCCACCAACATCCCAGCCCTTCGCCCCACCCTACGGCTTAGTAGCTTTGACCAGTAAAATTCTCAGTAAATTTGGAACTTTTCTCAGTAAAATTGGGACTTTTAGAGCACAGTACAGAGTAAGCACATTGGAGTAAGTACAGAGGGGGAAAAAAAGAAAAATTTAATTTTACCACCTAAAAGGATGTCCTTTTGGCTATAAAAAGTGTAAACGAAGGCAAATGACAATATTACTAAGTTTGGCAAAGAATCAATAACCTTTAAAAAAAAAGAACTTTCTCCAGATACAAGCTTTAAAAAGAGAGAAAACAGATAATTTGGAAAAATACATGGCACAGGCAACTTACCTAATACATATTGTCAGTATGGACATGAAAAATAATCAGTGTAATTTCATGATTTTCACATGAAAACATTGAATTTGCCTCTATCACATTTACAAAGAACTGCCTTCCTCTTCCTAAAAATGATAATCTAATCCCAATGTGGAGAAGCGAGCAGACTGCTTAGAGAAATGTAAATCAGGACAAACTTTCTGGGAGAAATTTGGCAATATACACCAGCAGCCTTAAAAATCTACACCACCCTTAATTTAGAAACTCTACTTGTAGGAATTTTTCTTCAGGAAATTATTCTTAGCATCCAGTAAAAACTGAGCTGAGCTTCTCTTGGGCAGATGGTGGGGGTTTTTTGTTTTGTTTGTTTGTTTTCTTGTTTTGCAGTACTGAGAATCAAGTCCAGGCCTTGGCAAGCATTCTATCACTAAGCTATACCTCTGCCCCCCACCCCTTTTAAAAAAAAAATTTAAGACAGGGTCTTGATAAGTTGCCCAGGCTTGCCTTGAACTCAAGGTCCTCCTGCTTCATCCTGGTGAGCAGCTGAGGTTGCAGGTATGCGCCACCACTCCCAGCTGTTTTTAATTTTTGTGGGATTTTTGTTGTTGTTGTTGTTGTTTTTGGTGCTGAGGCTCTAACCTGGGGCCTCATGCTAAGCACATGCTCTACCACTAAGCTGCACCTGGCCCCAGATTTTTGGGTTTTTTTTTAATCTTTTGTATACTTTGAATTTCATTATGCACCACAAGTCTTTGCTTTAGCCCCTAGAACACTCAGCTGAATTTGCAACCACCTTTAGCAATTTTACAAAGCTTACCATTTTTGTGCATGATCTTGACCCTAGCTTTGTTCTCTTCTTTCCTTGTTTTCCCTTCAGGGCAATATTTTTCATCTATTTTTATTGGATTATATCATGCATTTTTTAAGCTTCCTGAGCTCTTTTTTTTTTTTTTTTTTTTTTGGCAGGGGGTGGGGAAGTGGAGTAGATTGAAATGCAAAGATTCCCTCTCTGGATGAAACTGTCCACTTGGTACTGTCTGCACTGAGCTCTGTAGGAAATTACCAGGAGGGGGCCCAGTGCTCCCCTTGAGGGGACCAGATGGGATTTACATTGGGAAATAGCAGAAGAGCAGAGTATGCTGATGTCTTGAGGAACCAAAAAGTGTTGGTCAAATAAGTTCCATTGTGCAGGGGACTTTGATGGCTGACACTTGGCCCAGGGCAAGGAGCTGGTGCTGAGCCTCCCTTGGCCCTCTGCACTTGGAGGCATTGGGTTTCTAAGCATCTGCAGCAGTGGAGCAGAACCTTGTCCCCTCAGAGGTGGGGACTGTGGCTGTCGAGATGTACGTGTTGCTGGTAGTCAGTGCGAAGGCCGTGGGCTCACCTGAAACCAGTAAGTTCCCACAGGTCAGTGTTTTATAATGCATAGCCTCTTTGAGGTGGCAGACCGTGCGCTGTTCTGCCCTGTGAGACGCTCCTGTGGACCCTGGTAGGTGGCACAGAAAAGCCATCTTATAAGCAGAGGTCAGGAGCTCTTCATAGTTAGACTCAGACACATAGCAAAGTTTGGAGAGGCCTGTCTGTAAATGCTGGCAGGGCTCATGAAATTAAATTGATGTTTTTATGTCTGCCTTCAGAAAGCAGAACAGTGGTCAGTGTATAAATACTGCTGATGTAGGGGCCCTGACTGTCAGGCATGGCCCAACCAGCCAGAAAAAAGGTGATCACAACAGAGGAGGCAGTGAGTGGATGGTTTTCAGAGGCTTATTCATTGGTGCAGCCTTGGGCCCCTGCAGCCTGGGGATGAGAAGAACATATATAGTCCCCAACCAGAAGGAACTCTCTGCTGAGGCTCAGAGCACAGTTGTCTCCAGACAGACAACAGCCAGCCAGCTAGCCTACCAGCCAGCCACACTAAAAGAATGTAAGATTTCTTGGGAACCCCATCCCAGCATGCGCATCCTCTGCAGCTCACCCCAATGTGGCCCTCATGGTTCTCCTCTCATCTGCTGACTCTATGGTATCTACCCCCTGAAACCTGTTCCAGTCTGACTTCAACTTGGAAACATCTGCCTTTCTAGCTCTCCACCTCCTGCTTCCTCATTCCCTGGTTTCCAGTTTCTCCCTGGCATGGTGTATTGTGCCCCTTGTTTACTTAACCACTGACCTCCTGGGCGAAGCCTCAGAACCTTTCTCCAGGCAACATTTAATGAAATAATCCAAGTTCAGAAGAGACTCTGGCTAAGAGCTGGTGAGCCAGAAAGACTTCCTGGAGGAGGTGTGGTGCCTTACGGAGTGGGTGGGGTTAGATGAGGGGCTTGGCACATTCCAAGTCAAAGATCAGAATAGGAATGCTGAATGGGCTATAGGGAGGGGCAGAAAGAGGGATAAGGCAGTGAAGCCACCTTGCAGAGGACCCTGAGTACCAAGCAAGGTCCGTGGACTTGACCCTTTGGCTATTTAAACTAGATTGGAAAAGAAATCCTGGAGGCAGGTCACCCACTGATATTTCTGATGGACACATTGGGCCTCTCACTGAAGTTGAAGCTTTCCCTATGGGGAAAGGGGAGCTGGCCTCCAGGCTCAGCGTCTGCAGTCTACTGCCCATCTCTCTGCCTCTGCTCCCTCTCAGCTTGACACTGTCACCATTGTCCTGTTTAGAGTATTCAGGATTGGGGGGGGGGCGGCGGGCGGCGGGGGGAGGTTGTCTGTAATCCATGAGCATTAGGCATGGTTTCTCACAGAAGCATGGATTAAGTGTGTGTGCAGTGTTTTATGCTGGCCTTATCAGTTCGGTGTTTTATACGGACCTTGCCAGTCAGGTGCCTTGTTCTCATAAGTACAGGTTCAGGCAATGTTTTGGTTTGGTTTTTTTGAGATGGGGTCTTGCTATGTAGCCCAGGCTGACCTTGACCTCAAGATCCTCAGCCTCCCAAGAGCTGGAATTATAGACCTGTACCACCACCCCTGGCTCTCAGGCAAGTGTTTGCATCCCATTGCCTCTGACCACCAAAACAGAAGAAACCCCACAGTGTGTTGGGAGCAGCAGGCTCTGAAGAACACCCCTTTGCAGCTGTGCACTGGCCAGACCCAGAGCAGAGTGAAGGGGATGTGAAGCAGAGCTGCTGAGCCC